GCGTCTTGTTGAAACCTTTCCTTCTTTGGCTGTGCAGCACTACATACTTACACATTCTAGTCCTCATGGGGCAGGCTAGCTTTTTTGGGTTTTGGATGGCTCTGTTTGTGTATTGTGTAGCCTCCTTTGGTTAGCACTGAGATCCAGAGCTGCTACTAACATTCAGCAGTTCATGCAGATCTCTCCAAGCTGTATAAAAAACAAAAAGTCTTGTGCATTGAACATAGTAAAATAACGAAGACTCTTCATATTGTAAAAAAATTATCATTAAAAAAAAGAGTTTCTGCAGTGTACTCCGTGTATTGTAAATTGTATCTAGTACATTGAACTTGCTGAGGGGAGGAGGATTAACAAGAGTACCACTTCCTTTGCTGTGGGGTAAATGAACAAATTAATTATTTGGTGTCAGTGTTCCGGAGTTGAGCAGAAAGACGGCATGAAACTAGTGAAAACCACACGCAAGCTCTGATAATATCAGTCAGCCACTATTTAACCTCTTCTATAGAAAGGGAAATTGATACACTACCTTTGGGGTATGTGTTTTGAATTGCCTGTGAGCAGATAGCACCAAAGGGCTCCAAGTTACAAAACAAAACATTGTCGTCCGCGCCCCCCACCCTTGGCAGTATCATACATGCTAAACTGCTCTGTCGTTTTGGACTGGCACCATGCAGTGTGATATTCCGTACTGACTATGCCTTCCAGTTAAAATCTTTGGCCCATAGGCTGTTGTTTTGGAGGAGAAAGGTGGATGGCAAGGCTGGTGCAAAAGAGGGGCAAGGAAGTCCTTCCTGCCTTGGTAAGCTGTGAGCAAATACTAAAGGTGTTGGGAAATTCTGCACTGTCCTGTGAAAGCAGTAGGGAGGATTAGATCCAGCGATGTTGTGTTCAGGAAACTCACTTAAGCCTGAAATGGCCTTTTTTCAAATACAAAATTTATTTTCACATTCATATTGTTTCTTCTAAAGGTACATTCAGATGTAGACCTTAACCCTGCAAAAAATGTGTCATGCTTACTATTGCTGTCTGTGTAGTCCTTTTTGCCCTAGCTGTATCTACACCGAGATGTGGCGAAGTACCTGGAGGTGCTTTGCCTCATGTCTGTGTGGGTAATTAGAACGGCCTAAAAAGTTTTGAGGTATTTATCTTTATGCATCTCAATTTAACTGCAAGTCACGTGAGAGTGAAACTTGGAATTTAACCGTGTTGTGCTATTAGCTAGATTCTGAACTAGTATTTTTGGGATTGACTCTAATGGCTTCTGTCTCTTACTAGAAGTTAAAGACTCAGCTGCCTTTCCACGGACCTTCTTGCAACTACTCGTTTGATCTAGGGTGTAGGGGAAAAAGAAAAACTTATTTCTTTTCCTGGTAATCATTTGGCTGGTTTCAGGTACAGTAATTTCATTTTGTTTCTTGGTCTCTTTCAGCTTGTACCTCCTTTTAAACCTCAAGTGACATCTGAGACAGACACCAGGTATTTTGATGAAGAGTTTACAGCTCAGACTATTACAATTACACCGCCTGAAAAATGTAAGTCAGAAATTACGCGTAACTTAAATTATCAGTTTATAATAAAGCACTGTGTAAGTTTTTTTCTGTTTGAATGGAAAAGCTATTCTCATTGTTACTAGTAAAAATCTTCATAGGGAAGCATATAAGAGTAACTCTCAATGACAGTGTTCTTTTAAAGAAGGAGTAATGACAAAGCTTAGAATATTGGATCATTCTGGGTTGGGCTTTGGTGGTGTTTTTGTTGTGTGTGTGGGGGGGTGGGGTTGTTGGGTTTTGTTTGGGTATTTTTGTTTTGTTTTTTTTTTTGTCTTTTTAAATAAGGGAAAACAGCGGCTTCAGATGTTTGCTGGTTGACAGTTAAGGTTCCAGTTCAGCCAGAGACAAGTGGATGACTCTTGTGTAGATGTCAATAACTTGAAAATGAAATTTGCTATCAAGTCCTGTGCTTCAGCAGAGCTCTTAAAGAAGTTATTAATATAGATATAACCGCTGCACTGGGCCTTGAACAGAGTATCTTTGTTGAGTGAATGTAATTTCACTGAAGTTTGTATTTTTGTCATCCTGTGCTACACACACAGGAATCGTGATCTGATCGGCCAAGCTAGGGCTTAACAGAGTTACATACCAAGCCAGAGCAGTTAAAATCTTGCTGCTGAGTTCTTGAATGAATTTACTTTCTAAGTGAGACTTTTTTGTTTGTTTGTTTGTTTGTTTTTAAATTTGGGGGTAGGAAAGAAGGCTCACAAAAGTAGACAATAAAGACTGTAGTTAGGGTTGATTACCCATTTCATAGAGTTAGTTCATTTTTTGGTATTTTAGGATTCCCAGGTTTAGCTGCAGTTTTCTGTTGTTATACACATCTGGAGTATTTTCTGGATTTTGCATTTGTACTGTTTGAACACAGTCATCTAAGTGATTTTCAGTCTTCCTGCTGTGAAAAAAATAAGCCTTTCTTTTGCTGTCTATCTTGATAAGAATGCGTCCATATTTGTAATTTGAACAAACTTTGTCAAAATTTGGATAAACTTGGAGTCTATTGATTCAATATCACAAAGTCATGATCTCTTGAAACTCCACATATGCAATGATAATGGCTATTTATCCGTTGAAGGCTGAAGCAATACAAAATATGTGGATGCTACCAAGAGTTCAGCTTTAAATTTACTGAATTCAGAGCAGGTGATCAATACCAATGCAGGGAAATGACCTGCAGGGACCTATCCTAAGGGCCCTATCTTGGCCTCTGGTCGCGCTGTGGCTGCTGCAACATGGCATTTAGCACCGGCTGCACATCCACCCCAATCATAAGAAAAATAAAAGGGGGAGTGATGACCAGCAGCGGCGTTGCTGATGTGGGAAGCCCTCCCAGAGAGCTGGCAGGGCTGTCTCACCTGAGGCTGCGGTAAGTAACATCGCTAGCAGCACAAAGGCAAATTCCTCTTGTGCCACAGAGACCTGGAAAACGGCTGCCATTTTTAGTGAACTGCAGTGGTTCAAGGACCACATGGGGTTTTCCCTTTTCTGGGTATTGCAACAAGAAACAATTTTTCATTATTTTTCTTTTAAAATCTACAAGTAAGTGTATTATCTACAATATGGTATCACCTCTGCCTGAGGTGATTATGCAAAAGGGCGTTAAAACATACTTTAGGGATGGAGGGTTGGTAATTGCATATCAGAATGTTACTGCTGAACTAAAGATCTTTTATAGTTACCGAAATAATTTTCATAACATTTAGGTCAGTTATTTAGTTATCAGAGTTTTACAAATCATACTAAGTGAATATTGAAAGTATAACTTGCAGCTACAGTAATCAAACTGATAGCAAAACAAACCAACAAGCTCTGTACATTAACCTAATTTAAACTGACAGTGTAAAAGGGAGATTGTATTTGAAGTTACAGGAACTGAGAGGCACTGGTAAAGTCAAGCAGCCTAATCATAGCAATTACAAAGATACAAAAGATACATATTTCTGAAAGGTTGCATATAAATACATCGTTAGTATAACAGTTTCAAGCACTGTTAAAACTAAGCACTGTTAAAAAAATCCATGTGAGAATGTAGATCCAAATTCTCAGAGTTAGGCAACATCTGGCACCTGGTTTCCATTGGCACTGCAGGAATTATGTAAATACAAATATTTATGAATTTGGCTTAGTCCATGTTTCCTCTGATCCCAGTAAATACAATAAAAATAAATTGTTTACTAAAAAATAATATTTAAGGATTGAAACACATAGAACCTGCATGAATTGTTCATTTTGTAGCTGTCTTTCCTTTTAACTCCTTTTGAAATGGAGGAATATTTAAGTATGTCTACAGTAAGATTTTGATTTCCTGAACTCAACTTAAGAAGCCGTGAAAACTGGCTGCTTCAGTCAGCGATTGGCTTCTGTGCTACCAGAAGCTGGATGTGCTGGCATGTCTTGATTAGCCTAGAACGGGTAGTAATGATGGAAATTCTCAGGTGATAGTCATAATAAAACCAACCCACCCACCCCGATACAAGTGGTGACTTCCTGAAAGGATATCCTTTCAGTGGCCATTGTTCTACTGCATGAGCATAAGCTTACGTGAATAAAGTCTGTCTTTAACTCGAGCCTTTAACTTCAGCATGGAACCCTGAAAGGTATACTGCATATCAGGTGAATAATAAAATTTTGTTGCAACTATAATGATGTTTTGAACTTTTCCCTTAATACAGATGACGAGGATGGTATGGACTGCATGGACAATGAGAGGCGGCCGCATTTCCCCCAGTTTTCCTACTCTGCAAGTGGACGAGAATAACTTATTTGTTCTGCTGCTTCACTGTCATCTTAGGTTTATCACTGAAAATGATTCCCGAACATCACCACCAGTACTAGATACTATTTAAGATAGCAGGGGCACTTTCAGAGACCGTTCCAAATTGAACAAGTTTCTTTCCCAAACCTACCTAAAATCCATTTTGGTTTTGCATGAAGTATGAGATTTTCTCTACTACGCTCTCCTGCTGTTGCTGCTGCCCACAGTCTCAGTATAATAGCAACGTCAAGAAGTTACTAACGGTTTCTTTGAAGGTAGATGACTCGACTTCAGCATTGTACACTTTGTGCACAAGTAGTCATCTATTTTTCCTCGCAGTGGAGGCTAAACAAAAAACATGTTGGTCCAGCTTATCTTCTTCCAGAAGATGAATCAAAATTGTAATTAGTCTAAAAAGACTAGTCTATAGCATTTTCTTGCATCTGTTTGTGCGGGTTAGAACAAGGAAAAATAGGGGTGGTGATGTACATATGCAAGGTTTTTGTTAGGCATATCATTACTTGAAGCAGGTCTCTGTCATTAACATCTGGCTGGAATTTGTTTGGGAAACGTTTGAGAGAAGGACTTAAACTGTTGATATATATAAATATATATATATATTATTTTTTAATTACCGTTGGATACTACAGAAGAAGCAGAAGAGCTGGGCTTACCCAGCCTGCCACTTAGAACTTCCAGGTTCATGTGCAATCATGGAGAATCGAACATTATACATGCAAGAAATGAAGGCATAAAAGCAGCAGTTGAACTTCTTTAAGGGGGTCTTATAATTTGCACCAGATAACATCTTTCTCATGCTTTTCTTTTTCTTTCATGATATACATCACCTCTGATGGCTGAAGAATGTAGACAGGCATAATGGTATTGCTTTTCACCAAAATGTGTGCACCAAGGTAAACAGGTGTTTGCCTTACTTGTTTTTATTTTGTGAATTAGCTTTTTCTCCAGGTGTTTAACTCTGAATATTCCTTTTTTTTTTTTGTTTGTGGTTTTTTTTTTTTTTGGTTGTTTTTTGGGGTTTTTTTTTGTTTTGTTTTGTTACACTGCGGTAGTATTTATTTTTAGAGATCAGGATTGTATGTGTCATGTTTGCAAATGCTGCTACATCTTAGATAGAACAGGCTTACAGCAGTTAATTTTGTATTATATGGAAGGACTGTACAAGCTGAAGGGAACAATGCACTTTTCTCCCATGTGGAAATTTTAACAAGGCTCTGAAATTGTACATACTGCTTAGAATCAGATTTTTGTGAACGAAATACTGTCTTTTAATCGTTTGGCAATGGAGGTGAGGAATTCCAGCCTCATGTGCCAAAGGGTTAAAAACAAACAGACAAAAAAGCTACTTCTTGTGCTCCATTGAGGATAAACATAATGTAAGAGCCTGACAGCACAACAGAAAATGTCTGTTCTAGATGAAGGAATTGAACAACAAGACCACAGTGATTACAAGAAAAGCACTTTAATAATGAAAATAGTAAATTTCTGGGATCGGCCGTTCTCAAGAAAGGTTTGCCCTTAACCAAAAGAGTCCCGAAACCCAGCATGTTACGTGTAACCGTGGTACCTGATTGACTGAATTTAAACCATTACAAGAAACGTCTTTCCATTTCCGAAGATCTGTCTAACAGAACGTGTGCATAAACTTCAGCTTTGATCTTCAGCAATGATAATCTTAATAATAAACCCTTTGGTGCTAGGAGTCGGGACGTGACGCAGTGCAGTGATAGCGTGCACGTGCCCTTGCTAACGACATCTGGAAACCCTGACTCCATGGGATTATCATGCGAAGTATCTCTGTGTTTGGATCTCGCTAGCTCCCATGAAGACTGTGATATCACAGAGTATTACTGGTTGCGTTGTGTGAATGAGTAGATGAGTCTGAAAGGAGAGGTGTTCCTACGCAGATGCCTTAGCCTCTTGATGCGGAAAGTTGAGTGCCCTAGCATGAAGCCCACTGCTGGCAGTGCATGTGCTGGGACGGTCAAGGGGTAGGTGGGCATTTTAGCAAGGCAGCTAAAGACACAGACTGATTTAGACAATTTTTCATGTTTTGTGTTTTATCTTGAGTAACGGATGGATAATCAGTCAGAAACATGTTATGATGTGTATTCTAACTACATAGGATCTCATCCTGTCACCTTGTAACACTAAACATGTGTAGATGTTGTCCCTCTACAGAGAGAGAGGAGCACAGCAAATGCGCTGCCGGTCTCTTCTGCACCAGTGGCGTAGGGGTGTCTACACTGGCACAGTGAGTGAGTGGCTGAAATAACAGAGTACTTCATAGACGGGCATTAATTAGTTCTCTGCAAAGGCCTCGTACTTACAGACTGAAACCTTGGTGACTCAAAATCTGTGTTACATGCCTGTGTTTCCCTCCCACCCCATGTTTTCAGCTTGTAATAGCAATAAGTTTCTTGACACGGGGCACCTCTAGCTAACGACCAACTGGCGTCATGCCTCTGGCCGGCCGTTCCTCACGTGCAGAAGCAACCCTGTGGTTAGCTCGCCGTCGTGCAGCTGGTTAGAATGCGGTTTGCGGTAAATAGTTGTCAGTGAATTATTTGAAAACCTTTTAAGTCTTCACTTTGCATTGTATTGTCTGCCTTCCAAAATGTCATTGATCCAGTTTATGCTACAGAGAGTCACCGGCCACTTTGTGCTGCCCGGGGTCGGGGGGTTCTCTCTCTTACCGATGTTAGAAAGAGATGAAAGACAAGTGAGCGAGCGGTGCCGAGAGAAACTTTTGAAGCTCTTCTTTTGCTGTTTGCAGTTGTGGTTGGATTTGGACAGGAGGTGGTGGTTGGTTACCTTGGCGGGCCTGTCGAGCACAGTACGTTTCAGACTTTGACTCCAGCTTGTACTGACTTCCATGACATGCAATATGCCCTCTTGTAGTGCAGCCATCTCGGAGGAAATAGGTCATTTCTGTTTGGGTTTTGGCAGTTTTGCACACAGCTTCGCTTTCCACACTAATCCATCTTCCAGTACATTCCTGTTGCTTAAAGAACATGTATTCCAGTATTGTTTTACGTTTTTTTTCCATCTTTACTTGCGGCTTCTTAAAGCTGACTGTTCTTGCAGGGGCCATGTGCTTCTCCTAGAGTACAAAAGTAAGGTCTTTCCTTACTAACTGCAGGGTCTATATATTACACCTCAATGTACACACTTTGCTGCTACTGTTTGTACTGTCTACAGTAGAATTTCCTTATCTTGCTCCTGGTAGTGCATTACAGGCAAGCATGAAATGTAAAGTATTTATTTAAATAAAAACCTCTAAATTGGTAATTGAATTACCTCCCTGTAGCTTTAGAGTTTGTGACATTTCTTGACCTTGCTAGTTCTTTCATTAGATCCATGCAAGATCTAGTCATATGGTTAAGGATATTAAGCAGACACGACTATGAACCCAAGAAACCGTATTACTGTTGGTCATACTTAAACTGTTTATTTCCTTAAGTATATGACCCACAAGGATGTGAAATAACTACAAGAAACTGTTTTTGTACACTGTACATCCTTAGTATTTTTACACGTATATGATAGGGATGCACATTATTTTCCTTCGTACAGACAGCTTAAATAAAGCACTATGTCAATCTGCTACTTCTGTGTTTTTTAATGCTAATTTGTTCTGGAGGTTTGTAAATATATATATATATATGTTCAAGCTTGCCACAAAGGACGTATTTTTTTATATCTGCACATTACTATTAAATATCTTAGAGGATGAAATTCCTAAGTTGTTTTGTGTCAGAGGAAAAAAAAAACTGAAATGAGAAGGCTATATTGCAGATTACAAATGATTTCTCAAGTTTTGGGTTAAATATTTACTTCATATTTTAAAGTAATTTTATATAGGTTAGATGTTTCAATCCTGAAATGCACAAAGAATTAATTTCTTCTTACAAGAAAATGTACATGGTTATTTTTTTATCACTGTATATATAATGATCTGTGCATGTTTAGTTACAAGCTTTATTTGCTGTGAAGTCCTAGTGATAACTGTAACTTGCTGTGACGTATTTCAAATACTGGGTGATCAGTTTCAGCCTGTAAATTATTAAGTTACAGTATTGTAAAAAAAAAAAAAGGTTTTATGACTAAGCAAGATGTTATCTGTGCTTTGGACTGAGGCTGTTTCCATACAGGTGGCTCGTGTTAACTCTGTGAGGTGTTATATCACTGGTAAAAGTAAATTTGCGTTACACTTTTCAAGTAACGATTACACAGGGCTACATGTCTGGTGGGACACCCACAATTTACTTGATTTGTCATCTAATGAAATTCATGGCCTCACATCCCATAGCTAGGTAATGTGTTAGGGTAAGGAGAGCCAAAAATGGGACGGTGGGATTTGGAGGGCACCTCGGAGTGGGACTCTTTGAAGCCTGCAAGCTGGTCCAGGACCGCTGGAGCCAGCTGGTCAGGAGGGCTGAGTGTCCCTGAAGCAGCCCGTCATCGGGGCTTTGGCGCAGTTCTCAGGCATGATGGCTTCCCTGGAAAAGAGGTGCTTCAGCCAGGCCTCAGGTTTTTTCCTTGTTTTTTTGCTCCTCCACCTTGTAATAGGAAAGAGCATCAGTCAGCCGTCAGTTCAGTGGCAGTAGGAGATCGGTGACCAGGACTCGGCTGCGGCAGGACTGTCTGGTCAGGCTGCATCCCGCCTCGCGGGATCACGCTCCCGCTGCAGATGTGGGATTTCCTGGATTTCATTGCCTGGTCCAACACTTGTAAACTTTGTAAAACTAAGCGTTTTGTGCCTAAGTAGCAGAGGGAGGAACACGAGACAGGTAGACCTGGCACTGTCTGTGCTTAATGACTGCTTAATTGCTACAGCGTAGAGTAGCTGCTGCAGGGGCAATGATTCCTTCTAGACTCCCTGAGCCTAGGCCGGGGGTGAGCGCGAAAACCTCCTTCCAGCTGCATGTCCTCGCAGCCAAGGGTGCTTTGTGGAAATCAAGCGTGTACGTGCACGTGGGTGGCTGGTGCAGCGCTCCGCACGCAGCCGCCAGAAACTGCCTGGGAGGTGGGGCAGGTCCGGAAAGGTTGAGGGTCCAGCTGTGCCTCAGGCTGGGGCACGGCAGCGCCAGGATCTCAGTGAAGCCTCAGTGGTGGGACCAGGTGCCCGAGTTC